TAAATGTATATTAACAGAGTTCGTTAAGTGAATTCGCCTAGTTTAGATAATATGATGTCTGTCTAATCAATTCTAAACGTTTATTAGAAAATGGTGAACATATTTTTGTTTTGCTTTGTAATTGTCATTTATATTTTCAACAACAAAAACAACAGGTTTATACTAACTATAAGCCAATATATTCTTTATTTGTAAATTGGCGATAATTAATTAATTTATTCGTCTTGTTTGCGTTTCACGTTCGAATAATTTTGCTAAACAGCCGAGGTTTCACCAGGAACGAATCGACAAGAGAGGCGGACCATTCGATCAAACGGTCAACGACACAAATTACACGTCAAAAAAAATAATCTATACTTTCCTTTGGTGCCGGATGTTAAATCGAAATCAACAAAAACCGACAAAAGTTTCCGACAAAAAAAACCTTTGTCATTTGGTTACGAACATCTTTGTGCCATTAGGTTACGAAATAAAGAAAACATTTATAATGGTTTATATATTTTTTTCAAATGTATTTATATTGGATTTTATGGTATGTGTTTTGCTCTTTCAATTCTCCAGACTAAAATTCAGATTATCATAAATAGGGATATTAGTATTGTGTTCATTATAATAATAGTATAGATAATATTATAATTTACATTTATTGTAGTAGTAATTTATTTTGATTAGGTCATTTTATTGACCGCAGGTAATCGATTATTGACGATAGATCATAGTGTTACAACATTTCGCTTCCTGTGCCACAATATTTTACTTTTACTTCGATAAATATTTTATTGGCTAACGTATAAAGGGGGTTAACTTACAACCGTATCAAGATTTTTTTCTTGTAGCTAGGTGAAATAAAAAAAAAATCATGTATTGTTAAAACACAATCTTAAACCTAGTGACAAATTTCTGAAAATTTAGTTCATGAAAACAACATCAAATTGTTAAATATTCATAAATATCGAACGAATTTTAGACATAACTAGACGGCCAAACAAACAACGGATATGGATCACTCGTCAATGCAATTAAAAATAAATAAGATTTTTTTACCTATAAAGCTCAATTTTAATAAAACAATATTTTTAGGGTAAAGATTGGTTTTACCGATGTAAAATGTATATGGGCTTTACATTTAATTATTTTTATCATATTTTTTATTTCACTCTAACCATTCTAACCTAACCTGACTCGTCCCTTATCACGTCCATAGCCTTAACCCAGATACAACCGTCTGTCCCATAGCCTTCAACCCCAAACCTATCTCTACCTAACTAAAACCCTTACCAAGCCCAATCTTTCTTTTATTCAAACCCTAACCAAAACTCTACCTAACTAACCTAATCCGTTTTTTTTTGCCTTATGATCTTTGCATATTAGCCATGACGAATTCTTATATATGTTGTTCAAATTGGGGGTTATCGGGAAAAAAGGGCCAGAGGCGACGGTGGGAATCGAACCCACGACCGCGGTGTGAGAGTCTCTCATGCTAACCACTCGGCTACCGCGGTCCCCAACCTAATCCGTTGGTGATGAGAAAAGAAATAATATATTTTGTGCAAGTTATATAAATATGTAAATTCTATATGCAATGTAAAATGGCGACATGCCGAATGTAAAGACTTTGAAGGCAATCATCTGAACATATTTCTTTATTTAAAAAAAGATCACAAGTTAATAATGTCTTTAAAAACGGTTATAACTATATTTTTGCTGTGTGAATTAAATTTTGAAATAATAATTAAACGCCATTTGTCAGAGTGAAATACGCTTCCATTTAAATGTAAAGTCCATGCAATTTACATCACGCAAGCTCTACGGTTGCTTTTTTATTGTACATTAACATATAGTTCATACGATTTTTTTATGGATATACTTCGCACTCGATTCACAAATTTCGAGACAAACTCGTCATCGAATTAGCGTTGTCTGGTGCGCAGGGGTTGGCTTTGATCAGGATTAGGTTAGGGTTGGGTTAAGATAAGTTATATAGGATCCTCAACAATGAATTTGAAACCCTTACATATATCTAAACCAGATTTTTTAAATTATTAATAATCAAATAACCGCATTAAACCTTGCGAGAAATTTCAAAAATTCAGATTTCCTTAATTCCTCAATATAAATAAAACATGTGAATTTTACATCCTTAAAATAATAAATCGTCAAATATGGAAAATTTGTCATTCATCAACACTGCCATTAACAATGACTACAGCTTTTTTCTACTACTTCTACTTTTCCTTTCAGGTTCAATTTCAATTTTGGAAAATGGTTTTTCCATAAAAATGGTTATGGTAGTGAGTCATATCACGACGATGTTATTTCAAGTTTCATGTAAAGACTATCAAGGCATTAAATTTACTATTTTTAAGTTATGTTTCTAAAACTGCATTTTTTAATTTGTCTCAAGAACTTAAATAGTTTTTGAATTGTATATTGAAAATTAAAAATTTAAATTTTTTTGAATTTATAAAATACGTTAATCAAAAGAGAAAACGTTTACGGAAGCGTTCATGTTATGCCCTTTCGTGAGTAAAAAGTTATTCGGTGCTTGTTTTTTTGTTTTTTGAATGCTTTTCTAAAAATAATTCTCTTGTCGAAATGATGACGGCGGGATGAGTACGGCTATTTACCTTTTCAAAAAGATAGCTCTTACTCAAAGTTTGTTGTTTTCAACGATGCGGATTTCATCCATTAAACGCTCATCATCAGGATGAAGGATTACAAGCAAGTCTTTCGACATGAATTGTAAAAGTGAACTCGCCGAGAAGTTGGTTTTAATACTGCTCAGTTTTCAACGTGAATTACAACAAAACTAAATATTATCCTAATAAATACTGTAAGAAAATAATTTTAAATTAGAGATTAATTTGTAAGTTAAATATTATTTATATGTATGTTTAAAAGTGGAGGTAAATCAAAATCTATAATATTATTTGTGCATTTATTTCCATGTTTTATATTTCTTTATTTCAAATTTCTCAAACCGATCTAGTCCCTTCCCTTTTGTTGAACAGTGCTACACAGTTGTTTTAAAAACGACGATTGACACGAGAAAGAAAAAGTCCCAAATTTGGAAATGCATATTTTCTCAGCCTTTTAAGCCTGCGTCATATTTCTTCATTTTTAAACAATTTTACGCTGAACAAGATGGCTTTTTTTTTTAATGTTTTCCTAGCTTCCGTTCAAATTGAGCTATGGAGCCAAGAAATTGACCTGGAGCGGCGTCCAATAGCAATCGATAGGAAATTTTAATAAGCTTTTAATTGGTCATTTTCCACTTTGCCCGATTTCTACCATTTTCGAGTTATTCTCGATTTTTGGGCAAAACGTGGTTTTTAGTGTTCATGGAAAAAACCGATCCCTCTTTCTCCCGATTTTCAAGAGTGCATCAATTTTGAACCGTCATTTTTTCGCAAATTTTACCCTCTACAACTTTTGTTCCGAGGATTTATTCAAAAAAGTAAACAGAGAAGCGACAATTCTTACTTTTTCTTACTTTGACCTTTTGGGGGGATGCTGAAAGCTTCTGCTGTCGAAAACCACTTGTTTACCTCATCACGGAAAATCAACTTTTCCTTCCTGGAAGTTTGGCTTTGAATAACGTATTGAAAAAATAGGTTTATGTATGGTAAAATTGGTGGTGTGGTCGGTTTTTTACATGATCATGTAGAAAACCACGTTTTTTGCCCAAAAATCTCGAATCACTCGAAAAAGGTTGAGAAATCGGGCAAAATGAAGGTGGCAAATTAAAAGCATATTAAAATTTCCCGTCGATCGCTACGGGCGCCGCTCCAGGACGATTTTTTGGCTCCACAGCTCAAGTTGAAGTTTTAGTAAAAAGTCCTAATATTAACATGTTTCCGAATTTTTGAATTTACTAATGAATGGCTGAAGATAGCAAAACATTTTTAAAAAAATCATTTTGTTCAGCCTAAATTTTATCAAATTTAGACCTAGAGCAGGTCAAAAACTGAGAAGATATGCATTCCAAAGTTGGTCGCTTTTTCGTACAATTTTTTTATTGTCTAATTTTTTAATGAGCTTTGTTTTTTTATATCGCAATCAATACACTTAAGTTTATTTGGAGATCGTGAGATGCGGTCTGGTGTGACGTAGGTTTTAGAAAAACATTTTCTTTATCGTGCCAACATTTCGATCTTTATTGAGATCATCTTCAGGGCTCAAAGTGTTTGTTTTCCATGTAGATGTGTCAATCTTGTATATCGTGTTGAGAGTGCCCCACCACACAGAAGAATGACACATCTCCATGGAAAACGAACACTTTGAACGCTGAAGATGATCTTAATAAAGATAGAAAAACGTTGGCACGATAAAGAAAATATTTTTCTTAAACCTACGTCACAACAAACAGCATCTCACGTTCTCCAAATAACCATTAACTAACTGTCACTGAACTCCATACACTAAGTTTGTCAACTCCGCTTTTTGACAAGTTGTCAAACTTGTTTTTAGGTTTTGACAAGTTGTTTGTAGGGAACACGTAGTCTCTAAAAGCTATCCCAAAACCTTCTCTTTTAAGAATTTTACCTATTTTTTCTGATAGTTCTCCCATGCATGGCAACCCTCTTCGACCTGATGGTTAGAGTTTAACGCTCGAAATCCGGATCGTTGAAAACAACAAATTGAGAGTAAGATTATTTTTTGAAAAGATAATTCTGTGTTTCTAGATTCGCGCTTTTAAACAATTATCCGTATCCAAATAGGAAGTCGAGTTCCCCAGTTCATTTTTGAGCATCCCCTGCAAAACCAGACTCCTTAAAAGATTAGATAACGCGCATTCTAATTAGACGGTCAATGTCGGAAGAAATGGGGAAAATGATGATACGGTGTTTGCATTATATGGATTAGTGTAAACGTAACGGCTTACTTCCACCCAGGTTTTTCCAGAAGAAAGTGATACCCCGGTCGGTGGGGGAGGAGGAGGGGAGCCGAAGTATATAGTCTCCGGGCTATCCCTTTGCTCCTCATTCCACAATGTTTCGTCTAAGGGAGGCCGCCTATTTTTTAGTAAGTGTTGTGAACGTATAGAGAAAACATAAATAAGTGTGCTCAGTGGATTTACAATGTGTTCAGTGTTTCGAAACCCGCAGGTGGAGAGGTACACAATGGATGAAACAAGGATTACGGGATATCCAAAGATTTACAATATAGATGATGTATTAAAGCATCCTGAATAAGATTTTTTGTAAACCTTCTTCAAAACCAGTGATTATAATATATCACTTGGAGATAGTAAAAATATATCTGATTAATCTCCATAAGAACATGTTAAAAAAATTCAATCTTTCAATACACAGTCAACAGACATATAAAAAAATTTACCTACGAGAAGAATCGGAGACAAATTGTTTGGATAAAATTTAAATTTTAAAATGTCAATATATAACTATTCATATTAATAAATTCATGCTACAATATTTAAAGATTTCTTAAATTTTGATAACTTACAAAAAATTAAATGTACAGAATAAATATTGTCTAAATTAATCAAAACTATGTTTTTTTATTATAAATTTTCATTCATATACGTTAATTTAGTTTTGTCAAATTAAACTAATAAAAATTAAACAATTGTCTTGAAGGAAAAATATTCAAATTACTTGGTTTTGCTAGAAGGTTAACGAAAAATGCAATTGTTATTATTATTGATATGGTCAATATCATTGCTTCTTTTTTACATATAATTTAAAAGTTTGACAATGTCATATTTCCTCATAGGTTTCCCTCTAATTAAAGATTTTGTCTTATTTCTCACATGACTTTCATACTTTTTTAAATAATAATTTCTCTATTTAAACTGTCTAAAGTAGTAGTAAAAATTTACTTAAGGTAAATACTTGATACCTTGATACCGTATGTACCAAAAACCTGAAAATCATATTATTTAATATCAAATAAAAAACAAAACAATCCACTGCCAAAATAAGTTCATTTTATCACTCTTTTTCAGTAATCATATTGACCTGTCTTTTGAAAATTTCAAGATAAATCCAAACTTGAGGAATTAAAGAGATTCTTGTTTCGTTCATTGCTTATAATATTTTTATCTATATGTTATCACTTTCAGGAATTCTACCATGATTTGGATATATGTACTTTACATTTTGCTTATTTTACATTGACACTGTGGGGGACTTTAACGGTGGGTTATAACCAAACCCTCGGTTCAAATCCAAGTTTGGCCAGTTCTATTTCCATTTTTTAATAATTTGATTTTTATGCCTTTTTATAAATAATTATTCATAAGAAATTGTAATCTCAGGATTAGCACTTTCTAAAGATTTGGCAATATTTAATGTTTAATATTAGCCAATTTTGGGTGAATCGAAAAAAATCCGCCAAAGATCGTATTTATTAAAAATTAATTTTACAGTTTTAGCCAGTAATTATTCTTACAATTTTATTACGCCTTTTAATGGTATCAAGATTGATCTGAAAAAACACGGTGTTATGGCGTAATTATGATGTATTTCCCAGTTTATTGAAAAAAAGCTCCGCCCAAATTATACCTGCCGACCTGATAGGAATGCTGTTAACTGAAGGGTGCAATAAGAGGCAAATAACCCTCAATTAACCCCCGTGAACTGCAGTATGCACCGGCCGATTTCACCTCTTCTGAGAAGTTAAAGGCCAGGGCCCTGAGGGGAATTTGTGGAATTCAGGTTTAGTGACACCAAAATTAGACCACGGGACTCCGACCGAGGCCTAACCGGTTCTAGGATCTATGCTGCCCCTTGAAATATTTCGGAAGGATATTTTTAATTTGTCTTGATTTTTTGAGGAAAGCGAGCGAGGCAAGACGGACCAAGGGATATGTAAGATTTATACTGCCGACATAATGCTAAATTCAACTAGAATGTAAAATTTAATATTTTTATTAAATGCACAATAAACGATGAAAATATTAACTAATAACTTTCATTGTGAAATTTTATATTAAAATCTGAAGTCTAGTTCTTTCCAGCCATTTTGGTCGGAATGCTAAAATAAGAATGGCGGGAAGCTTGAACGCATCTGTCAGATCAAAATAACGAGAATAAGCAGCTCAAAAATATCCAAAAATAATAAAGTTTAGATAACAAAAAATAATTTAGAATCAATTTTTCCTTTTCATAGTAATGGGAAAAATTAGTCAAACTATTTTTTTTTTACAATCAGAGATTCAAAAAAATCTAAAGGATGGTTTATTTTATATTTTTCACCACCTTTAAATACATCAAATAACAGCAGGAGAAACTATTACCAGTTATCATTACTGATAAAATTAATCTTAGAGTAAAAATAAATTAAGTCAAATTTGTCTTAAATTAAAACTGTATGTTGTATATTTGACGGCCTGGCTTGCTCGTCTCGCTTTATTTTTTTATCAAAACCCTTTTTACATCAAAACAAACAATTAAAAGTAAAAGTTGTTGGACAGACTAACACATAACTTAATCAATCGATTTAGTCGAGATGATCAACGATGATCCGCTTCATTTCCATCATCAATCTCAACAAGGCGCTAAAAATAAAAGAAACAGCGAGAGAAGACGAACCAAGACCAGACAAACGTTCATCAATTAATAGAGGATTACTTGGCAAAAAATATCATCTATTAAGAGATTTTGACGGTAATTTTATCATGAAAAATGTGTCACCTCACTTGGTCGTTAAAGTCTCCAGTAATCGGTGTATTATTATCCATAAAATTATTTTGTTTCATAAAATACTTTATTATTTCAAAATACAGATTATTTGGAAAAATCATTTCTTTACCAAAACTTAGTTTTGTATAAATTTTTTATGATAAAATCAATTAAAATACTTTATGCTAATTCAACCATTAAAAAAGTCGCCTATGTACCTTATTATACCACCGCTTTTTCTCCAGCAATAAAATTTTTTAATTTTGTTTTTCAAAAATGCATATCTATCTGAAACTATTTGTAACCAATTTTATAAAAAATTTTGACGGTTGACTGTAATTTTATGATCAAAAATGTGTCACCTCATTTGGTCGTTAAAGTCTCCAGTAATCGGGGTATTATTATCCAGAAAATTATTTTATTTCATAAAATACTTTATAAAACATTTATGTGAAGTATTCAAATGCCTTCCATGTTTGGTCGAAAAAATTCATCAGTACGCAATATCGTGCCGAATGATGGTCGGTTATCATTTGAAAGCGAAGATGATTCATTTAATATATCAGAACATTACCACAACTCCACTCGATGTATCCCACCTAATTGAAGGGTGCAATTCCTTGGCTCCATATAGAAAGCGCGTAGCAGCCCAATACCCATAGTTGTGTGTCCCTACCAGGTTTTGTGAGTGAATGTATTTATTGGCGTGAGTGCGTAGTGTGAGAGGACCAATGGCGGAACATTGAGTACCCCATCGACACTCAATTGGTTAGTTATATAATATTTTGAAAGGGTTATAGAGGAATATGGAGTATTCATTACCCTGAGTGAATAAAATGGGATGTAAATAAAAAAGAATGAATTCAAGAGTGAGTGAGTATGCGAATGGATTTAGGAGATGACAGTGTTGGGTGCTGAAATGACCTAACTGATGACAGTACCCGTAGCCCAACCTCCATACATGGCCGGATAAGACCGATATCCGAACTACCAACACACGAGGTGAGATTCTCCAGACCTGCCGGTAATTTATTTTAAATAACTTCGTAAAGCTGGAATTGCCATTGGACTGCGACAAGTGATAGGCTCTGCTCTGTATATATGTACATACATGTATAAATCCTTAATCAGCAATAAAATATTGTGATATCATTTTGCGTGTACAAAATAAGCGTTTACCTTGTACTGCGCATGTGCAGTCAATGTGGACATATGCCGTCAGTGCAGGGTCATGCGCAGTCGGTCCGGAGAATGCGTACGTGAATGCAATTTTTCGAATTTGAGCTTGTTAACCGTGAATTTGAATTACAACTTGTGGGTTACGTTTTCTTTCGCAAAAAATCGTTTTCACCCTCATTATAGAGGTTGTCGGTGAATAGAAGTGAAGGTGAAAGAAGCCATTATTTGAAAGTGCACCGAGATAAATTGATTAATTAATTAGCATGTTTGACAATACAAAATACTAAACGTCGCGTAAAAGATTATTGTTTAGCTTGTCTTTTTGTCATATATACTGCTTTAAAATTACCTACACTCGGTTTACCAAAAGCTTTAATATCGTACCGATTATAATTGGTTCCATATCAAAACAGTGGTTCATTATAAATAATAGCAAGTAGTAGACAGTAAATGACCCGGTATGAATGAGAATAATGGCTACTTAGGTTTAAAAGTGGTTTTGTTAAGAAAGAAAAACGTTAGAGGAAGCATCATAGGAGATATTAAACCGCTCATTACCTTCGAACAAGGAAGGAAAGCTTCCGTTATTGTTTTCTATCAAATACTACATGGCGGTTACGGTCTGGCTCAAAGCCGCGGGTGGGGCTTGAATGCGAAAAAAGATTTAAAAAATCCAGACCGGCGTCATTTCGGGACAATTTCCTGGTGGCAAAACGGTTACAACCGTTCGAAAGTCGGTTTTCACCTATTCCTTTGCACACGGAAGGCCGCATTTTTTTTTATAGGTATTTTTTTAATAGAAAAGCTCTACTAGGAAAATATTAAACCGTTTCGGACTGCTACACTCGGGTACGCGACTCTGACGAATCGATGCCTAATAGCCCCTATTAAAATGGATTTTTATTCAAAGTAGAAATTTCTTTGACCACAAGTGGAAAAGGTTCAAAATTTTCAATAACAACCCTATTTACAAAAATATTTCTACCTAAACCTCTTTTGATAGATAGTTTATCGGTGAGTTCTCGGTAAAAATAAATCTAGTTGGTATCACTTAACCCTTATGTGCCCAATGTTGCCTCAGAGCAAATTTGCTAAAACTTAGCTAACTCCATGGGTTTTGGGGTAGTGCAGTGTTCTTTCTTCAAATTTTCATCCCGTCTATTGACAATACTGATTTGGTGCCAATCTAAACTCTTTATC